AGTATTTGTAAAATGACAAAATAATCGATTATAATCCATTGAAAATGGATTATATTCCTAGTATTTTTTTTGTCAATATAATCCATTATAATCGATTATAAACCATTAATAATGGATTATAATCCTAATAATTTTTATGCCAATAAAATCCATTATAATCGATTATAACCGATAAAAATGGATTTTTTCGAGGGGTTATTCATGAAATTTACAATTTTTGATCGATGTTATCTCATTTTCTTTTTAGTGCAGCTGCTACGCATTACGTTTCATAACCCCCCCCCCCCCAGTTAAGCGACCCAGTTTACTTCCCCCCCCCCCGTTTTGTTTACCCCCTTCCCCACCCAGTTTACCCCCCCCCCCTCCCACACTCAGTTTACCTTCCGCCCAGCTTACATCCCCCCCCCCCCAGTTTACCCCACCTTTAGTTAGGGGGAGGGGATTTAAAAAACTTAAAGGGGCGAGGGGATGACGTTGAGACATGGCATTTACCAAAAGACATGGCCTTCATTCTGCAAGTTTCTCGCAAAGTTTGCAAAATTTCGCAAAAAATAATCTAATCAGTTCTAAAAATGAAATCGAATATATTCATTTATAATGGATTATAATGGATTCTTTTATAAAAAATACAAATCAGTCAATTATCTATTTGGTTCATTTTTTCAACATTTTGTTTCGTTTAGGTCCACGTTTTACATTACTAGCAGAGTCTGCACATAGCTAGCCAATTTCTCTTCATTGTAGAACATCCGTAAATATTTCTCTAGGGTCAAAAATCATGGTCTGAGCCAAGACTCCTCCACTTGGTCCTTGTGCCTCGGAAGCACACACTGGAAGCACGGAGCACGGCAAAAGACAGCCGGCACTTCACCCAGTTGATAGTTTTACTATAGGGTTTTTCCCACTTGGTAGATAATGCTTCTTCTTTTCTCCGAAGGAAACTTGCAAATTTTGGAGCAAGAATCCCATCAACAGACACGACAAGAGGAGTGAAAGACATATGTCTTTCCTGACACGCGTCTAAATATTTTGTCTTTTTCTGAACCTCTGCTGAGTGCAAAACACTCATGGGGCTTCTGTTCTGATAGGAGATGGCGTCGGTGTCAGAGACACGATTATCAAAAGACGCTCCTCCCTGTCTAACATAAACTCCAGGACAAAACAAATCTGCAATTAATGCGGGTGTCTCATCTTGTGGGTTGTATTCTCTAATAACAGGCTCTCTCTGTACATCCTTCCACACTAAAGAAGCTAAGTCGCCTACAGCATCCCTAATCTCATTGTGCCGTAAATTTAAGAGACCACATTTTTTGCACGCTAACGCATGCCGTAGGGTGAATGGTGACTGGCAACCATCACAAAAAGTTGGCGAAGCGTTCAAGTTTTTGTTTTACCGGACACTCAAGGCATCCCGAAACTCCACTTCCGAAAGATCAATGTTTTCTGCAGCAATCGGTAACGCTGTCAGCCAGGCAGACAAGCTTCCTTCGTTAATTCTTTTTACTGCGCGAACTTGGTCTGCTGGTAGCTCATTCAATAACTCCCCCAACAACTCTTCATGTTCTTCTTCCATTATTCGATGATGTTTTTTCCGCGATCGAGACATTTGCTTTCTGTGGTCTTCATGGGAAAAACTGTGCTGGTCAACAATAGCATCATAAAGAACCGTAACTGCTTCCCGTGAAGTGTTGTAAGACTCAAAAGCGAAACTGGTTGGCTTAGACACTCCAAGTCCACCCTTTTTTGCTGGCAAACAAAAGAGACGCCTCTCCATTGATGAAATCAACGAAGTTCCAAGTATCGCAGGTAAGAATTTCTTCATCAGAAGGTTCTCTAGTGGTTAAAAACGCTGACTAGAACCACCCAAAACACGATGGGAAAAATTCCATTCCGCTTGTAGGGACTTAGTCAGTCCTGATAAAGCACATTGTGGTTCTGTTTTTGCCACAAAAGAAGAAAGTTTCTCAATTTTGTCTACCCATTCAAGTTCTTTCTTTTTCAAATAGATGTCCTTATAACGGATTCTTATTTCAAAAATAATCGATTTCAGTGACAAAATTAATGGACTATAATGGCAATATAATCAATTTTGTGGTCTGAATTTTACATTTGTAAGGGATTATAATGGATTATTTTTGTCTCGGAAATCCGTTTCAATCGATTAGAATCCATGGGCGCTCGGTGCGGGTAACATCTGTTTATGGCTTTATCGGTGGCTAATCTTTACCGGTTGTCAATGACTAAAGATTTCTAACCACTAAGTCCGCGGTTCGTAGGATTAAATATGTCTTGAATTTTTACTAATTCGAGGCTTATTTCTACTTTTTCTAATTTCACTTGAGCTGCTTTTGTGTGCTAGTGTTTGCGAAAGCAGCTTCGCTTTGCTTTATAAAAATGTTTTCTGAGTGACTTGGGCCTCATTTTCTATCCACAATGTTGCAACTCTTTGTTCGCGTTGTTTTGCAAAAGTTGCGAAGCTCCAATTTGCTTTTGTATTCAAAAAACAAAAAATAGTTTCATAATGACAAGCATACAATCCAGTCAATTTCATATATCTGAAATGATTCTTCGAAAACTGCTCTCCTTGTTGAGAAGAATTGATCTGTATTTTTGAATTATTTTAAGACGTCATCCTCAATATTGTCTTAGTTTTGAAGCTACCTTAATACTTAATAAAAAGCTGGAGGCTAATTAAATGTTTCTTTTCTGCTCAACGGGTGTCTGCTCAAAGGCTGTCGGCCTTGTTCCGTCTAATAAGTTCTTTTAATTGCCCTTTCTACATTCAATTGTCTCGCCAAGACTTTTTTTGTTATAATATTTTTTCCCAAAAGAAATAGAAAAAGACAAGCTTTAGTTTCCCGTGACTCAATTGAGATTATGATTTTCCCTAACTCCTATTTTAAAACTGAACTAATAATAAGGTTAAATTAATAGTTATTTTTATAAATGGGCATGGGAATCATAGAAATGTTAAGCAACCACAATTTTCACGAAGCAACTTCTTTGCAATGTTAACGAAGCAACTTCTTTTAACGAAGCAACTTTTGCAATTTTAACGAAGCAATGGTAAGCAACTTCTTTTAACCAATAGTTAACGAAGAGTGAGTTAAATTTAGTACCGCAAAGCTGATGAACATAATAGACACGGTTGACAGGTGTCTAGTTCATAGCGATCAAATGATCAACATTAAATGACTATAGGACAATTCTTTTTAATTTTATGTCTTCAAACACTTAGTGGCCAACACACTACTACCACAGATTTTCTGAAAAGATTTTTTTGACAAGATAAACGATTTTGACTTTTTGGCAATATGCTGACTGTTTTCTAGTTTAAAGAGACCAAAAGTTCTATTACTGGTTGAGTTCAATTTTTTTTCTTTAGATTTGGGTTATTTTTTTGTTTCAATTCTTTTATTTGCATGCATGCAAACCTAAATTACCAATGGTTTTGCTATCTAAATTATCTAGCCGAATTTAGGTACTCAAAATGTTATTTAAAATTTTAGAACTTATAATTTATGAACAACTTATTTTTGATGTTTTTGGTGTAATGGGCAACTATCCAAGTACTCTCTGCTCACTTGCTGCTTGATAAAGATTTGTGAATACTTATTTCATGAGCGGTTGTGCTGTTGGACGTGCTCGCTTTAAACGGAACGTGATTCGATACAAAAATTAAGAAATTTTGTAGATGTGGTTTTGAATTTTGAAAAATTGTTTTCCCTGATTTGATGGCTTTAGTTTGATTGTCTGTGGGCTACCTTGTTTTACTATGTTTACTTAGTATCGCAATTGGTTTGGAACTCCGCTTCGTCTCCGGTTGTAAAACTCGATTTTTTTTGTTTTCGAACAACTTTTCCTGCAAACTTAGCTTCTGAACCTTCTCTATTTACTGCAAACAGTTATTTTTGCTACTTTTATGTACTCGTGATCTGCTAGTTGTAATTCTTAAGTACTTACTTCATTGTACTTACCAAGGGCTTATGGTATAGGTTAGCGTGGTTGAAAATTTGTTTAATTTAATTGAGTTGTATAGACGAAACATCTGTTTTTTTTTCTGCGTACCGAAACATCGATTATAATCTCTTAAGCAAATTTTAAGCAAATTTTACATGGAAAAAAGGGTTAATTAGGCTTTAAAATTGATTAGCGTGTATGTATCAATGTATATAATTGATTAGCGCACGTCACACATAAAGGTTTATATAATTTTAAAAATCCCTTATCATATTGATTTATATACATGTATATTTTTACTCATTTTTGCCACTGCAGGTTGATTCATTTCTCAACTTAATTTTAAACGTTTGAGTTTTGCAACAGATTAAAGCATTTTTTATCCAGTTGTCCAATCACTTTCAGTTTTATCGAATTGGCGTGCGATAAATTTTTGTGTGTTGTCGACCTTTTTTTAAATGTCGGCTCATTCGCTTTTCGGAGCTCACTTACAACTGTAAAAGACCCTATTTTGCAGAAATTGTCTGCGCCGCAAACAAGAAAAAAAAAACAGTCCAAAAACGCAGTTTTTGGTTAATTATGGAAAGATTTTACCAAAAATCTCGTTTTTCGGCGCGCATTCCTACCTCAAATTTTGTTCATATTGACGCAAAAGGTGAATTTAGAAAACTTTAAGCGTTAGTCAACCATAAATGGATGCCTGATTTAATTTTAAATTTTTGATAAACAGATTTGAGGGAATAAGGCTTTGGGCTGAACCACACCCAACCCCCCTCCCCTCCCAGCCCCTTCCTCGACACGATACGGTATCAAAAACATGTCAACAACTTTTTAATTTTTTTCTGGTAACTCTACTCTAAGGTAATGTAAGTTCTCCTACGATCATCGGAAGTTGAAAATTGAGAGTTCATCAACACATAATAAACTGTCTGTCGGCTGTGTTGCGGACTGCACAGTAATGGCATCGTTTTTTTGTCTTTTGTTTAAAAAATTTAAATTCATTTCTCAAATTTAAATTATCAAATTAAATGTGACTACAATAACGTTTAACTTGCAGTTTTCTCTCTCTCTCTCTCGTATCAATACTTGTTGATGACAGCCCACTGAATGTGCTTTTCCCTGTAGTTCAATCTTCCTCTGAACATGGTGTTGTCTTCGTACACCCGTCCTTGGTAGTACTCATTAATGGCCCCACACTGCGGCTCACTCAGCTGTGACATGTGGCCATGGACTAATTTGCGGAACGTCTGGAATCTAGAAACACAACCAGGCTGGGTTTAATCAATCTAACGGGGAATTTCAATATTTAAATATCAAATTTGCATACTAAAAAGGTCAACAACTGCTATAATTCATTGAGAGAACATGTCAAAGTTCTCATTGGGGGTCGGTTAGTCGAAAAAGAGGGTTAAGGTGGGTCCTCTTATCAATTAAATCGAACAATGGAAACAAATTTTTGACTGTATAGCACAAGCTTTTAATATCTGAACATTTGACTATGTTCAGATACGCACGGTTGCGGATCATGCACACAAGTTAGCTGAAACTCTCCAATTGTAATCAGCTTCATAGGCAGTCTGCATTTGACAATCGATTTCACCACAGTTGAAAAAATACCAAGCACTTCTCGTGATCTCAGCAGCAGCTAACTGTCTGCATTGCTTAAACTACGAAATTGTAAGGCCTTGTAAAGGGGAAGGATGCGCAAAACGACAGTCAAGGGTTTATGCTGGAAGAAAGCATACCTATAGCAGAGTTTGGTGTTGGCGAACCAAGCGGGAGTGTCCTCAATGGAGGGGTGGGAAAGAGACCAGGCAAGTTCACAACCACCCCTCCTGTTGTCCGTGTGGTCATGGTAAGGTTCAGTGTACTCATTCACGGGCACACACTCCTCCCCGGCGTCCTTAGCACCGCACTGGGCTTGAACTCCATTCGGCACGTGCTAGAATGGAACAAGATGTACATCTTTTTTCTCAAATCTTGCAGAAATAATGAACAGTAGACTAAGGTTCCAGCCGAGCTTTTTGAGGAGACTTGAATTCAAAATCTTAATAAAGACTTGCCTATAAAGATAACTTAAATTGACTTAGGTTAAGCTTTTATAGAGCATCAATCCAGCCTTCTAAGCTGCAGTTTTCTTCACTTTTAGTCTATTTTTCTACAACAAAAATACCAATGGGCCATTTTTCAGCTTCTAATTTGAGAAATGTTGTTGCGCAACAGATCATGAACTACACGCTTCTTTCATGGCTTTTCCACTTTGGAAGAAGTAGCCTGTGGATCAAAAGGAACGAGCTTACCTTGAAGCAAAACTGTGTCTGCATGAACCATTTATCCGACTCATTGGCCTCGGGTAATTCGGTGAATAGCCCCCATTGCAAGCGGCATCCCCCTGCACCCCTGCTCCAGTCTTTGAACATGGATGTGAACTCACCCACAGGAGCACATGTTGGCGATTGACCAGAGCAAAATTTACCTAAAAACTTTATTTCATAACATTTTTTTTGAAAAAAAATCTGGTTTTAATTGAAATTGCAAAGAATTACAGAAGAATTAGCTTTCTTTATGAAGTAAAAACATCAAATTTGAAAAGAGGGTGCGAAAAAACTGTTTTACACCAAGAGTCTAATTTGACTAAAATAAACCCAAACGAATGGTTCCAAATTTCTATCAACGAAACTTGAAAGGTTTTTGGATGTTTTCGAATATTTGAACTGATAAACAGGAAATTGGAAGTTTTACCCGGTAGGTCTGAAGAGTACTTGAAGCATAGTTTGGTTCCGCCCTTCGTCCACCAGTCGGGAGGGGAGAGAGTGGACTGGACTCTTTTGGCTATCGTGGACACCTCCGCGTGGCTGGGGAACGACTTTCTGCTCTCCTTGCGAACCTGCCACAATTAAAAACCGTTTCTACCGTCCCACAATTTCGAGTTGAAACACTATTTTAGAGTTCTCGTGTTGCATTAAAACTGTGAAAACCTTTTTTCAATAAATACTGAACATAACATCATCTATTTAGCCATAATCTTAGCTAAAATAATTATGAAAAGAAAACAGTTTGAAATGGCAGAGGGGTAGAGAATTGAAAAAATTCCCTTTTTTAAATTTCAGAAGAGTTGCCGGATAAGTAGTTTTTCGTTCAAAATATGTACCAGAATATACGCTTTGGTAGTATTGAATACATCGATTCATAACTGAAGTCGTGTAATTCGTTTCTACAACTTACCCATGCCTGTAGACTGGTGAGTTGTTTCACTCGTCCCCCCTCCCCCTTCGAGTAGAACTCAATGCCGCCGCCCAAAATTCTCTCTGCCTCCCCCAAGTAGGCTCCGTCTAGATGAACCTGCACAAATATTTAATATTAACAACAAATGAATTCGGTTCATTTTGAAATTCTCCGTGAAAGCGACACTATGAAAATGTTTGCGACGCAACCGAAAAAATTTGAAAAAATTTCCTATCATGGGAAAAAGTTAAAGTCTGCTAATCAGGGGCTGATCTAAGATTTTATCGAGGGATGAAGCAAAAAAAGCGTGCCAAAACAGGCCAAAAAAGGCGTGCCAAAATTATGCCAAAAAAGGCGTGCCAAAAACAGGAAAAAAAAATGGACACTTTGGAAAACTTTTACCAAAAAGTTGAGTTTATTTTTGGTGCGCGCTCCCCCTCAAAGTTAGTATGTATTAGCGCCGAAGGATCAGTTACGTTCAGTCGGCCAAAAATGGATATCTCAAAATAGTACAAATGTGGGACCGTGTGGGTCGTCAGGGGGCCGAATCCTTGAAAAAAGGAGCCCACCCCAACCCCTAAATCCGCTACTGCTGCTAATTAAAGCACAATTATATTTGAACTCTAACAACTTTCGAGTTTAGGTTCTGTTTATAACTGTTGGCCTCAAAGAATTTTCTTGAGTTTACTTATTTTATGTATTAAATTGCCAATAGCAGTAAATGCGAGAACTTCCTGCATAACAGATTTCGTTTTCATTTCTGGACCCCAAGATTATTGACAGTTTCTGAAACTTATTTGTGCACATCAATGGAATGTTGATGCCCCCTCCCCCGCTGACCTGAGTTGCTGTCTTCAGTGCCTGTTGTCTTTTGGGGTCCCCCCTAATCAAAGTGTAGAGGGGGGCCAGCTGGGCTGATATGAGGGCGGGCGAGTCCAATGCAGTGTGCAGCCATTCGAACAGACCCCCCTCCAGAAACACTGAGGGCTGTCCTCCGTAGATGAAGTCCTAGTGGTAATACACGTGAAGTAAACGGCAAACAGATGCAATTACACTCATGTGACCAACAAAAATTTTTAAACCTACCATCCTCAGTTAATGCTTAATCATTTCTATATATTGGCTTACACTTCATTTAAATTATGTAAACTTTTCGATTTAAACGTTTGATTTCAACCACTTTCGATGAGTCATGAAGTGATCCACTATACAACATGATCGCCTCCTATCTGTTATCTGATTGTTTTAAAGACCTCGTTGTTTTCAGCATAAGAGCTCTCAGGCGGTACCTTGGTTGTGGTGCTCTTAACAAACTCCTCGTCCATTTCTGCTACAAATTCCTCTCCTTGCCCTTCTCTTCCCCCCTCGCTGTCCGTCTGCTGAGTGCGGTTCCTCCTCGTATGTGCACTGAACCACTACACGGAAGGCTTTCATTTTTACCCCCTCCCCACCTTCGTATCTTCTCCCGCAACACTCTCCCCACAGCCTTGTCTTTTATAAAGTAGCCAGGGTCTTAAAACTGTAACCAATCTCTTTTTTGGGGACGACGTACCCATGCAATATTTTAACCTTGAAACCATTTTCAGAAAAACTAGAATTGCAAATAAGATTCAATTTGAAGTTCAAAGAAAAACAAGCGTTTAAAAATATGATGCAAACCCAACTTTCAAAGGATTGCTTTTAAGTTTTTGACCAAGTTAACCACCAAACTTGATGACAACAACCGAACGGCGGCAGATATAGAAATAGAGAGGGGTGAAAGGGGGTGAAAATGAGGCCTGATAAAAGGATGCTCTGGCTTGTCTGCCCACTTCCTCGGGGCCCTCCTGGTCGAAGTACTCCCTCAGGGTGTAGAGGATCAGTTGCATATAGGGTCCCACTTTGGCCGAGGTGAGGTGGTGGGTGCCGAAAGTGCGGATGAATTGGGCATATCCCTCTGAAAACAAAAACTTACGTCATGTATTTACGAGCTCACAAAAAAACTCTGTGAGATTACATGCTGAAAAACATTCTTAAATAAAGGGACAGAAAGCTAGGATTTGTTAAACGACTGAATATTCACAGTTTTAACAATTTCTCCTGTGAGTACGTTCTCATCGGAAAAATTTAATTTGGTAAGAAAAAAGGATGATTAAGACTAGAAAAGTTATAGGTTATTTCAAATAGTCGTTTAGTTTTGTTTCAGACTGGGAACAGCTGATTATGATTTTCAAACGGTTCTCACCTTTGTTTTTCTCATAAGTGTCCGGAAGAGCAGCCAGAGCCCTCCCCACATTTCTACCCAGCTTAAGACTGTCGCCAGAAGTAGAAGGGGTCAAGTATATACGAGTGGGGGACAGAAAAGAGGACACTGAGGTCACGACTGAGGAGTGGTCCATGACATGGTCACCAATTGTGATGACACTCTTGCTGCGGGAGAACATACCACTCCCTGTCAACCCCTCCTTGGCCTCAGACCCTCCTTCTTCGCCCGCCTCGTCAGATAGAAGACCAAATCGACGTGCCAGGAACTGAAATGTCCGACCACTGTTAAACTATGAAAGAAGTATTAAATCAAAGTTTTTCAAGATAATTATTTTGCTTATTATTTAAATAGATTTTTGGTTTTTGAAGAATTGAAAAACTTGCATTAAAAGCTCAATTGTGAGAAAATTGTATATTTTATTCTCTTCGATAGCATTTTTGTTTTGAAACACATTTTGAGAGAAAAGGTCCAAAGACGATAACAGTTTCAAGTATTGACCAGATGATCACACAGCTAAATAGAAAGCTCGGAATGTTATTACTGCTCTTCAAAGTATCCTTCTCTTCAGTATCCTTCTCTTAATCTCTTCAAAGTAATTTTTGAAAAGAAAAAAAGTTAAAGCTAAAATTAATTATTCTTAACTGAAGGAAGCTCTCTTCTATTTTTTCGACTTTTGAACAGCCAATTTTTACATTATTGTTCCGACTTTCGATACGAAAGTAACGGAATATTTGTGCTCGGGGTGGTTTTTTTTCTTCAGACAAATTTCGACTTTTTAACTGGCCATTTTTGACGGAATTTTTAAAATATTATTCAAAAAGTATTGTTGTCCTGAGCTCAAAATTGGAAAGATATTTCACAAGTGATTATTTTTTGTAAAGTTACGGGGGTTTAAAGATTGCCATTTTGGCCAATTTGGGACAATTAACGCGCGATATATTTCGATCTCTTAACGCGTAAGCGGAGAGTTAATCCGTCTTAGAAATCGTTCCGAATAGGCTAAAAGAAGCTTATTTACCATAATTGATTTGTTACAAGGAGCGAAATCTATCCTTTTGTACTTTATATGGCGTGTGGGAGGGTGATTTTCATTAAAAAATTTAAAAAATTTCGAATTTAAGAAAAAAAAATTTCATTTTGTTTTATTTCATTTAATTTTTTTTAATGTTCTTTCTGCTCCATAAACCTTAAAAGGCAGTCGAAATTTTCCGGGTTTTGCCCTGATACGAACAGACAGTCGGAGAAACACCTTGAGCTTGAAACAGAAAAAGACCTGCGATCATTATTGTAAATTTAATGGGCGTTTAAAAAGTTAGAACCACTTATCATATTACTGTTTAATTGATCTCCTGTCATGGCAAAGATAGTGACGATAGCTCACCAGACACCTATCTTTAAGCTTACAACATTTTAACCAATTTTGGATGCAATAGTGTTAACACATGGAAGTTTGGGATGCAAGAAAACGGCCTTGAGCCTCAAAAATGCGTCTCTCAACAAAATAATTCACTCTGAAATGAAAGAACAAAAATACAAACTGACTGTTGAGACAGGATTGATAGCTTTTCATTGATCTTCTGTGGATTGCGAAAACCTTATTTGCCATTACTATTTTATTATACAGGCTAATTTGGGATAATCAACATGCAGCATAATTTGTTCTATTTGAGCGTAAGCGGCGGGCGAAAGGAAAAATTTTAAGTTGAAATGAGGCAACTTGTTCCAAGTCGCAAAATATATGAATTTGTACTTTACTTTATGTTTTAGGGGATAAAATGAGGAAAAAAGAGAAAACATTTATTTTTTTGAACTTTTAATCAAGTTTTTTGACAAAAATTGTTTTGTGGTCATCAAAAACCAATCCGTCAGGGCATTTAGCGTTTCAAGCATAGTTGTTTCAAATTGGAATCACTTCAGAGATAGATTGATTCGCGGCTTCGGCTACATGTTAGAAAAAAAAGACTTAAGTAACATCCCAAAATAGTAACTTTTGAACTACCACAACTCAATGAAAATGATCAACGGTAAGAAATTGTTTCAGTTTTGAGCTCAAAAATCCCGGAGCAAAAATCTAGTGCAGTAAAATTCGGAGCGAAACTCGGGCTGAGCATTTTAATAATTTGAGAGCAACTTTATCGAACTTGATTTTATAAGGAACCTTATTTTTTGACGGGTCTTTTCCACTTTCCGCTCCACATTTGAATCTCAAGTTTAAAAAATTTATTTAACTTTGTCATAATGCAATAAATTATTTCTTCTCCATGCATTACTTTGTGGCATCACGTTTTAACCGTAATAACAAGTAAGACAATTTGAAAAGACAACTTAAAATGTGGAGTGAGTTGAAAAGACCGCTTTTGCTTAGCCATGGGTTTATTTACTTTGCTTCACAAAAGACGAAGTTTCGATAAAATCATTTTTAATTTATCGCTAAATCATGCGTGCGCAATGCTGACACCTTTTTCACCCATATTGCTTCTAAAAAGTTTGTTTAAAATAACCTCTTTGTCACGTTATCTTAAACGTTTACAGCGCAAAAAAACTTGCGGCAGAAACGAATTTTTTGTGTTTCAAAAGAGCCAAAAGAGCCCAATGGAAAAATAGACGCACTGAAGCACATTTTGAGCCCCAAGTTTAGTTAATTGAGATCATTTATCTCCTTCCATGGCAAATCGGGGACCAAAACTTGGGTTAATTCTGCCACTGTCCAAAAACGATTCCCCGATAGACTCGGACCCTTTCACTTAGTATCGAAGACCTCTATGTTATCTTCGTTCTACCAATGCTTAGAGTTACTATTTATTGTTCCAACTTTCGAAAAAGTGAGGAAGATATATGCCTAGGGTGGTTTTTTGTTCAGATCGGTTGTACAATAGTTGAAAGCGTATGGGCATCGATCCGGAAATCTTTGGAATACCAAGCAAGTATGATTGCACTAGACTAAAAAGCGGATGGCTTTGCTGCTCGAATAACACTTTGGCAGTTTCAATACGCAAATTTTTATGCATTAAATTGTCCGCATTCATAATCGCTCCAAATTGAGTTGACACAAGCTAATTGGTCTTGTTAATTCCATACACGACTCAAAATTTAACACTCAAAGTTTGAAATTATCAATCTAAAATTCGTAGTTTGCCAGTAAAAAAGAACTATTCGAGACCATTTAATAGGCAGTCGGAACATTCATGGCATTGCCCTGATATACGATCAGCCTTGTTTAGTCTATATAAACCAAAATTAGGAAACTAATTGGGCCCAATTTTCAAAAAATTGGCATCATTCATCTACTTTTGTTACAATTTCGGCTGATTCAGCCCGTTTTTCTAGCAAATTGGAGCTACAGTGCTGATTTAAATTAACCGGACAAAACGCGTTAAACTTGAAATTTAAAACCCGTTTTTCTCAAATTGGGTTGAGTTTAGGTAAAAACTTATGAAGACAACACTTGCTTAAAACTTTAGCAGAATTAATATGGTGTAAATTGTTTTGCGAAATTCAAGCCCGAAAAATTTACCCCAAAAATGGGTCATTTTGGCTTTTCTTAGTTAATCAAAAATTACGCCGAAAATACCCAGTCGATCACAGACATAATAATATCATAGTGAGCCCCTTACGTAGCCCAACAAACTTTATGAAGGGTATTTTCTCCAAAAAGTTGTATAAAATAATTTATTTTTGTTTGATAGACAAAAAAGGCCGTTTTACTATATAAAATACCAACTTTTTATTTTGAAACAATTTTGAAACATTTTGCATTTTTTTTGGAGAAAATACCCTTCATAAAGTTTGTTGGGCCAAGTAAGGGGCTCACTATGATATAATTATGTCTGTGATCGACTGGGTATCTTCGACGTAATTTTTGATTAACTATGAAAAGCCAAAACGACCCATTTTTGGGTTAAAATTTCGGGCCCGAATTTCGCAAAACAAATTACACCATATTAATTCTGCTAAAGTTTTAAGCAATAGTTGTCTTCATAAGTTTTCACCTAATTTCAACCCAATTTGAGAAAAACGGGTTTTAAATTTCAAGTTTAACGCGTTTTGTCCGGTTAATTTAAATCAGCACTGTATTTAGCTCCTAATGGTTAAAAAAATGGGCTCAATCAACCCCTTTTCCAATTTTGAGCTCATTCAGCCCCATACTGATAACACTTTGACCATTATACCATTTTATGAGCCCCATATGATAAAATTCGAGCTAATTAAGTTCCACATGCTGAAACTTGGGCTCATTCGGATCATGTTCCTAAAAATTGAGCTCAGCCAGCACCCCATGGAAAACAGAGACCAAAACAGGAACATTATATTTTAGGGAAATTCACTTGTGCATATAAGCATAGAATTAACCCTTCATCGGGGAAGGAATTTTTAACAACGCACCACGTAGGAAATACTTAGCGAGATGCAATTCTTTTTACGAGAAGGACCTCTTCCCTCTCGGAACAATCCCTCCTTCAGACTTTATTTAATATTTTCACCCGCGTTGGGGCTATGAGTTTTGGGCCCCAATCTATATTGATTGGGACTATATGAAAGTGTGAACATAAAACCACGAATAGAACTTTTGGTTTAACTGACCTGTTTTGCATGTTCGTAATTTGAGAAGGTGTGAGTGTCTGTGTTGATCCATCCGGTGGGTTCTGCAATCGGCAACCCCCACACCTGGTCCGGCACTTCATACAGCTTCCCACTGTGGGGACTCCGCCACTTCTTGCCCTCCTTGCACGTGTAGTCCACTATGGGGCCTAGAGGGAAAAGGAACTATGTAGATAGCTTGCATCACAAAATCAGCTACAAATCATTGCGGTCGCAATTGAGTGGACCCAAAACATTTGAAAACACCTCCTGTTGAGTTAAACCGATACCAGTCATTGGTCAGATCAATCATTTTTTACCAGCGCAGATAAAAACTATCTTACGAGAACCCTCAGGATAGATATAGAGGTGAATTCCCTTGCACATAAATGATGATAAGTAAATCATCTGATTGAACCTCTGTTTATCAAATCTTATTGGACGAAAAATAAAATAGATCAGAGGAAAATGGACTACCAACTGAATTTGGCGGACTGGAGCTACCAGTTGATCTTGTTGGTACTTTCACATTTCTTTAACGTTTTTTTCCTAGGTTTTTGCCACATTTATTTGGTGATTTTGGCGTGAAAACCGATTATGTAATAATTTCTAGATGATGTGAACTTATGTGACCTTTGAATCCGGCGTCAGTGTCCATGTGTAGATTAAGTATATCAACTGCGGTAATATCCACGCCCCTTCTCAGAAGAGCCACGCCCCCAGGCACATCAGACCCACACTGCGCCTCTATACTTTCCTCATAGGAAGCATAGGAAGGGGCAGGGTTAGATTTACCCACCCTGGCCGACACTATCGCACACGCCACACCCAAAAGCAGCAGAACAGCCGGGCTAGCTTTAAAGACAAATCGAATTAATGTGAGTGCAGATCTGAGAAATACATACTTGAACCAGAATATTCGGTTGCTGTGCGCCGATGAGAGTTATTTCGGCAAATTAAAAAAAATCGAAATTAGATTTTGAAAACTTGAAATTGTTTTGTTCTTGAAACTTTTTTCTGAAAACTTCAATAAAGACTGATAAAATTGTAGTCAAAAACGAAACAGTGGCTAAAGGTCCGTCGTTATATGAACAGACTTCAAAAAAATTGTTTGAAAAAGGTTCTGTAACGTTTAAATGCTGTTGCATACGGCGAAATTCTAGATTTATATTTATTTATAAACTTATTTGTAAATTAAAGTTATAAGTTTGTAAACTTTTTAGCATTTATAATAATTTTTGCTAGCACCATGAGTCCTACCTGTAAGACGCGAACCACCTGTCCCTGTCTTGATCATCTTGGACAAAAGTTTTGTTCGTTTCCTTTGCTTTATGTTCGCTGTTCGTTTGCTCTATTCCAAAGTCAATTTTATTTTGTCACCTGACCGTGTTTTCAAACTGTGTACATTGTTTTGACCCTGGCCTCCAAAATGATGTTGTTTCTCGTTGTTTATTTTGTAAATAGCAAATCCCAAAATCAATTTCAAGCATCGTTTGTAGTTTCGGCAGCTACAGGGTTTCAAAAAAGGTCATACTTCTCAAACATTTGTTTTTTTCTAACTTTTCGATTTCGGGTTTTTCTAAAAGATTTTCTGCAGCATGAAAAACTAACCAGGAAGAGAAATAATAAGCTAGTACTATTAGAAAAAATTATTTAGGGAAACCTGCCTATATATTTTCTCCGAAGGATTATGAAATAATGTTTCCGAATTAAAAAGTTGTGTTTGAGAACAAAATAACAACACTCATAAAACATGATGGCTACTATTTTGTACTCAAATGTAAATTTGCAACTGAAAAACATTCAAAAACATCGTCGGGGACAATATACCGGCAGATACTCCAAACTTACACTACCTGATAGGGATGTTTGCTTCCGGTTACAACCAGGGACACTGTTTATTTTTGAATAAACCTTTAAAAAATTCATTGTTCCTATTTTCGAAGAAGCAGTAAATATACACGGGGTGGTTTTATTCAGATCAATATCTGAAATAGAGTTTGGAAATGTGAATCATAAGTGAAAACGGTGTGTTCCCGGCCAGGTATGCAACGCACTATCCAAAATTTGCTTTAAACTTCCAAAATTTGCCTGTGCAATATTTTTAAGTTTTTATCCTTGATGCTGAAAAGCGTAAATTAAATTATTATCCCGCACCCAAAGTTTTCGAAATTGATGCCCGGCAAGCTGATTGGTCATAACACTTCCTTACACGACCTCAAAATGAACAAGTCGTAAAAGGAATTCTTATGACTAATTAGCTTGCCTGATTTCAATTTGCCTGATAATCATCCATCCCTTTTACGTTTTAGCATCATGGATAAAGTCTTCAAAAAATTAAACAAGCTCAAACTAACGTAAGTTCAAACCCGCCTGGGATCTACCCGCTTTCAGCTCTGAACCACATTTTAAAAATTTCTTTCAGATATTAGTCTTAATATAGAGATTTGCAAAAAGTTCGGACATACAGATTTATGTAAATAAGCAATAGCTTTTTTCAGACAAGCTTGAGTGAGGCACAAGTTTAGTCTGATAACCTAGAATTGTATGCATACTTTTTTTAAAATGGTCAATTGCTCTTTTAACTAATTTAGTCAGCTCGAACTTTTTGTTATTGTTCCGACTTTCGATACGAAAGTAACGGAATATTTGTGCTCGGGTGGGTTTTTTTTCCTTCAGACAAATTTCGACTTTTTAAATAGCCATTTTTGACGGAAATTTTTTAAATATCATTCGAAAGGCATTGTTGTCCGGAGCTCAAATTTGAAAAGATATTTCACCTGTGATCATTTTCGTAAGGTTATGGGGGTTTAAAGATTGCCATTTTGACGCGTAAGCGGAGACTTAATCCGTCTTAGAAATCGTTCCATTTGGTTGAAAGAGCTTATTTGCCATAATTGATTTGTTACAAGGAGCAAAATCTATCGTTTTGTACTTTATATGGCGTGTGGGGGGATGATGTTCATTAAAAATTTCAAATTTTAGAATTTTTTTTTTTCATTTTTTTAATTACATTTAACTTTTTAATGTTATTACTGCCCCATAAACCTTAAAAGGCAGTCGGAACATGCAGGGCTTCGACCTGATACGAGCAGTTTTGTTAATTATAGAAACTACCGCAAGCATATTGACAGTTCAAAATTTATAGTTTATCAAACATTTTATTGTAAAATTTAAATTAATATACTGAAAATTTTGTAAGCAATAAAAGGTATAGTTTGCGTGCGTCTAGTAGAGAATTAATGGAACCCAATAGCTTGAACATCAATTCAACTTTTTAGGTAAATTAAGTGGTCAATAAATCGGTTCTTCCTGCTTTGGTTAAAATTGATGAGTAGGTAAAGTGATTTTTTCTACTGATTAGCTGATGATGTGGGTAAACTTCTAGCTTCACCATTTTGCGATAAATTACTGGAATTTTGTTGAGGCTGCTTATAGACTCAGTTTGCGTAGCGACATTAATCTGGGCAATTCGTTAAAAAAAACATTTGATATGAAAATAGCAGTGCTCCCGGTCGAAAACTCTCATGTATATCATATCCAAGCAATTGGGGGCTAAAAGAAATAGTGCCAGTGAGCATGCCAACGATGAGAACTAGATCATTCTGCCAGTTTGCTTGAACAATTTATGCATTCATTAAATCATCCAGCAAACTGACCAACTTTTGAAATTTTAATCACAACGCATGCCTAACAACACATTTTTCATAATTATTAATTGGTTATAGACGATAAAAGAAGTGTTTTTTGATCAAGGAGCAATGATCTTTTTGTCAAACTTCCCAAAACTTTATTCAAGATGTCGTAACATACGTTTCAGGGGGTGTAACCTAATTTCAGGGGGTGTAACAGGTTCAGTTTAGAATCGGCTAAGGTCGAGCCAGCTTGCATCTAATGTTTACCTTTAAGACCGTCTCCGATAATCAATCGGCTGGCAAAAAGTTAGTTGTTATTCTAATTAAGCTACTCAAGCAACAAAATTTGAACAATTTCAGGTTATTTATTTCATGAAATTAATTCAAGTTATTTCATGCAGCGAATCGGATGACAAAAATTTTGAGGTTTTTTTTTGAAGCCATTCAAGCGATGAAAATTTGAAAAATTTCAACTTATTTTATAGAGTCAATCGTTCCGCGAAAAAAATAAGTTGTTCTTAGGCAAGATTTTCATGCTAAGAAATTTAAAATTTTTTAAGGTAATTCTCATGCAAACCGTTTTAAGAAAAATTAAAATTTTCCCCTGCAAGCTATTCAAGTTCAAATTATTTCTTTAAGCGAATCAGTTTGCGAACAGAAAAAGTTTTTCCTAGTGAACTTGTTGAACTAGTGAACAAGCAATGAACCTCTTAAACACCTCAAAAAGCAAATCGGATCGAAAAAAAATCATGTTTTTGTAGCCAGATTATTCAATTGATGAAATTTTGAAATATTTAAAGTTCTTTCAAACAAAAGCAAACGGTTCTCAAAAAATTAAAGTTTTTCGTAAGCAAGCTATTCAAGCTATGAAAATTTGAAATATCTTGATTTATTTCTTAAAATGAATTATATGGCAAACAATTTAAGTGTCAAGTGAAGCCATTCAAGCGGTGAATTTTCCAATTACTTCAAAAACCGTTTTGAGAAAAATTAGAATTTTCTTATGCAAGCTATTCAAGCAATAAAAGTTTCAAAAATTTCAACTTAATTCTTTAAGCGAATCAGTTCGCCATCAGTAGAAATTTTTTCCTAGAGAGCTAGTTGAGTGATTTAACATTGAAAAATTTCAAGTTATTTCATAGAGCAAACTGTACGCAAAGAGTTTGCGTTTCTTAAAATCAAGCTATTCAAGCTATAAAGCTGAAAAAGTTCCCGTTATTTAATGAAGAGAATCAGATGGTGAACATTTTAAGTTTCCGTTGAAGTCATTCAAGAAATGAAACTCCGTAACGTCTCATAGAACAAATCGGTCCGCAAAAACTTACGTTTTTTGTAGGTAGATTACTCAAAAACACTCACGTTTTAGTGACGCAAGTTATTGAAGCTAGAATCAATTAAAAAATTTCGAGTTGCTTAGATCAAAACATTTTGCGAAAATTTAAGTTTTTTCTTAAGCGAGCTAATGGAGCGGGCTAATAGAGCGAATCAGTTCGAAAAAAATCAAAATTCACTTGATCAAGCTATTGTAGCTATTAAAAATTTAAATATTTTTAAGTTATTTATTAGGAAACGTCTTGCGAAAATAAAATTTTCTGCGCGAGCTAATCAAGCCACGAACTTTGAAAAAAATCCAAGCGCTTTGTAGAACGAATCGTTTTACCAAAATTTTATGTTTTCTAAGCAAGCTATTCAAACTATGAAACTTTGAAATTTTTCAAGTTTTTGTGTAGACTAAATCGGTTTGCGAAGATTTAAGTTTTTCTAAGCAAGCTTTTAAAGCTACGAAATTTTAAAAAAATATTTCAACTTATTTTATAGAGTCAATCGTTCCGCGAAAAAAAAAATAAGTTGTTCTTAGGCAAGATTTTCAAGCTAAGAAATTTAAAATTTTTTAAGTTAATTCTCATGCAAACCGTTTTGAGAAAAATTAAAGTTTTCCCCTGCAAACTATTCAAGCAACAAAAATTTGAAAAATTTCAATTTATTTCTTTAAGCGACTCAGTTTGCGAACAGAAAAAGTTTTTCCTAGTGAACTTGTTGCACTAGTGAACAAGCAATGAACCTCTTAAACACCTCAAAAAGAAAATCGGATCGAAAAAAATCATGTTATTGTAGCCAGATTATTCAATTGATGATTTTTTGAAATATTTAAAGTTCTTTCAAACAAGAGCAAACGGTTCTCAAAAATTTAAAGGCTTTCGTAAGCAAGCTATTCAAGCTATGAAAATTTGAAATATCTTGATTTATTTCTTAAAAGGAATTATATGGCAAACAATTTAAGTGTCAAGTGAAGCCATTCAAGCGGTGAATTTTCCAATTACTTCAAAAACCGTTTTGAGAAAAATTAGAATTTTCTTATGCAAGCTATTCAAGCAATAAAAGTTTCAAAAATTTCAACTTAATTCTTTAAGCGAATCAGTTCGCCATCAGGAAAAATTTTTTCCTAGGGAGCTAATTGAGTGATTTAACATTGCAAAATTTCAAGTTATTTCATAGAGCAAACTGTACGCAATCTATAAAACTTTAAACGTTTTCAAGTTTTTAAGTAGACTAAATCGGTTTGCGAAGTTTTAAGTTTTTCTAAGCAAGCTTTTCAAGCTACGAAACTTTGAAATATTTCAATTTAGTTCATAGACTGAATAAGTTCGTGAAACAATTAAGTTCTTCTAAGCAAGCTTTTTTAGCTAGAAACTTTGATATAATTCAAGTTATCTATAAGCCGAATCAGTTTGCGAAAAGCTTAAAGTTTTCTAAGCAAGCTATTCAAGCTATGAA